CACTCGGCCTCTGTGTCCCAATATAACCGGTCCACTCGGCCTCTGTGTCCCAATATAACCAGTGCACTCGGCCTCTGTGTCCCAATATAACCAGTGCACTCGGCCTCTGTGTCCCAATATAACCAGTCCTCAACGCACAGTTGAAGTTGTCCACATGAGCATGTTAGCATTTAGCATGTTAGCTAGACTCAGCGTGCCCATTCTGTAGCCCTGCAGGTCATGTGGGTGTGTCGCTCAGGTGCAAACCAGGTGATGCATTAAATCAGTCCATGGACAGATGGACCTCACCAGCAGCTTTGTTTCTGCTGCACTATTGATTTATATTAACGCGCAACTTGACATGTAGCGAAGTACGATAGGGGAGAACTGGGTTGGTTGGCACACTTTTCCCTCTGCTGTATTTTCTCTGACAGAATTAATGTTAGAATATTATAACCAGCACCAAATGAAATGTTAAGGTCTGAGCTATAAATCAGTTTTTAATGTTTACTAAATTTCGGGGATTCGTGATTGAAGTCATGTTGAGCACTTGTTATGGGGTTTGTTGGCACAACAATCAAAGGGCCTGATAAGCCTGCCAAATTTGGTGAGTTTTCGAGTATGATAAAGCCCTCAAAAATGTGATTACACACGTGACATAATAAGCGATTTCAATAGGGCCTTCGCGGCCCGACGTTATCGGTACTCGGACCCTAATAAGGCAACCTATAGACAATAACCAGAAAATATGAACATTTAACAGTATATCTGCCCTTTTTTAAAAACAAAACGAGATTCTTAAGCAATCCATCAATAGGAATGTCCAATTACTTTTGCCATGGACCATTCAAAAATATTAATAGTTAATGAACAATATAAATTCTGTTTTTAATCTTACAAAATACCCCCAACAAAATACAAAGCAACAGTCACACTAATGGACAAGTGCCAACCAATCCCAAAGTTAGTGTGCCAACCAACCTCAAATCTGATCCAACTTTCTGATGACATTATGTTCGCCAGCTACCATCACTCATCCAAGACTTTAAAATCTTTTGCCGAAACGTAGCTGAACCCTATGTGTCTAAGTAGTAACACACTTCCAATATCTCTAACACAGTTGTATAATGTGTTTAGCCCACAGACCACTTTTTTTAAATATAAAATGTTAAATGTTATCTATTACTTCCACCCCTGCTATGGCACTAGTTGGGTTTATAACTTGTGTCTTATGAAAGTTCATGTCGCTGTAATAGAAAATCTCCACTGATGACTGCCTTTCTTGTTTGACCTGTCAGTGGTGGTTGCTGCCTCGTGTCCTTTATTCCGCCCAGTCTCTACTAGTTCCTCTCCATTTGGCCCTCCACTCCATCAGATTTATGAAGGCTGACTTTCCTCTCCGAGGCTGTTTCCTCTACATCTGTTACCCCCCCCCCCCCCGCCAGCCCTAAGTGAGTGCCCTCCCCCCCTCTCTATTTCACACTGTTGTGCCAGCCCCCACCAAGTTGTCTGGTGGGATGTGCTGACACCAGCACTGGACATCCAGCATCAACAATTTGCTGCGTTTATGCGTCTTTTCTTTCTAAAGCTGCAGTACCACCTGGGGGATACTTTAGACATATGTCATGCACTTAACCACGTCAGCGGCCTTTACTGGCATCTGAGTGCAGGTCGATCTGGTGCTTTTTGCTGGACCATTATCAGAGCAATTAAAAGGCCCAAATTACCCATTGATGTGGAGCTATGCAGATTAAACCCAGTGGAGTTGTTGATGCGTGTGTCAAGGGAATCGTACAAAGTGCTTGCTTTGATTCTTGATTCTCCTGCTGTGTGGGGCAGGAGGTCCTCAGCCAGTTTGTCTGACAAAAACTCAACTGAGAACAAAGAAAGTCACCTGATGGAAATCTGGACTCAAAAAGGTTCCTTTTTCCGTTCCTGGACATCTATGAAGCAGATTTAGACAGTTACCAAAGGCCCTGATCAACATGACATGTCCAGTGAATGCAACAAGTTTGACATCAATACAACACGTTATATACAGAATATACAGTTTTACTGCGATGTGAATGATCAAATAGCATCAAAAAAGCATGATCTGAAAGTAGCATTTATTCAAAAAGCACAGGATGTCCATTCTAACCTGTTGACCTCCAGAAAAGGTTCAGTTATCCAAGATATACAGTTTTTGTGAAAGATCTCCTAAAATATACTACTGTTATTATAATTCATTCCTAACACAATGCACATTATTACAAAGGTTGTGAATAAAAGCATAGTTTGCATTGCGTTACATATTCGGGAAACGTAATCATATCACGATGCCTCTTATAACATTTTTGATGTGAGAGAGAGGGGTCTACTGGTACTACATTTCAATTCATGAAATTAAGAATAATTACGAAATATTCGCTACATGTTATAATAAAGAATATCAAAGAAAACATATTTAAAGGGAAAGCAAAAATTAAGAATCACACCGAGGTAAGACAAAAACAGTCAGTACTGATATCCTTTTTGTGTTTAAGAAACATACAGAATGTATTTAAAGGGCAAGATCCAAACTTTTTGAGGTTTATTTTCAGCTGCCCAACTAGGACATTACATTAGATAAAGTGACAATAACTTGTCAAAAGATGTCACATTCATATTTCAAGCTTCATCATCTGAATATCTAAATATTTAATTGTTCATTCACAAATATTCTGTAAACAGATTATATGCATACACGATGTGGGGACCAATCCTTCTTATGTATTATTATGTATGATTCAAAACAATAACTTGTGGCAAACAACTCTTCAAAGCTTTGTCTTTGATGATTTTATTTTCCCAGTTCCTTGAAATACAATTTATAATAATTTAATTATTGGGTTTAATCAAAGAGCTGGCCTCAAGGAGATATGATCTCACAGTGACCTCCTCATCCAGCAGTACAGGTTCCTGTATAGTATATCTCTCTTTTCTTATCCTCATTAAAAACTGGTTCAAGAAGCCTCCAAGATAATGAATTGAGTAAAATCCACACCACACCAGAGATGTTCCTAAAGAATGCCCCACCCCCTCCCTCCTCTCCCCCGGAGTTTACAACAGTCATTAGCATCTCACATCCACTCAGGGTGGAGGCGATGGGCCCAGCTTGTGTTTTTCAGCTGTGAAAAGGAGCCAAACAGCCCCCCCATTTTCATGCTTTCTAAGGCTCATTGAGATGGAGAACAAGAGTCGTGCAATGCTTTATGATGCCGGTGGGTAAACCTCAGCAGGTGAGCCGGAGTCACAGTAATACAATGTCTTTAATGCATGCTGGGCCTGTTGAAACGACAGAGTGGCCATCGTTAGATCAACAAAGAGGAAATACAAACAAACGCCACCAGAAAATGTGATGCGTATAAGAGCTGGCCAGGTATGCAGATGTGCACCCGCAAACAAAGACACCTTCACAATACACTAATCCATTCCTGCTGCATGCAGAACACGGCTTGGATGAGAACCAACATTACAGGCAGGACATTTGAAACTTAAAGGCCAGAACAACCGGTGGAAGCTATGAAGGCCTGGGCTCTGGTCACAACCAATCAGAGGGTTCGTAGTGATAACTGAGTATCACAGTTTGTTATACTGCAAGCATAATGAGTAAGGTATTATAAGTATTATTCATCAACCTCTGGCATCAAATGTAAACGAGGTGTCCTCTTTTAAAAGGATGTTCTATCTTTGTTTAGACAATAGATGGAAAAGATTAAATATATGTATTTTCACATAAGCAAGGCATCAAATCACTTTAACGCTTTTATTTTCAGATCACATCACAATTTGAAGACAGACATACATTGCACACTTATGTGTTATTATTTATTTTTTCTTACAAAAATAATATTTAAACTTGGAGATGAGATGAAATACAAAATAAATAGACAATTCAACAATAAACAATAATACAGCATGGCGTAGCACACTTTTGAGTCCTGCCAGCCTGAACAGAAGGCAGCGACAGGCGTCTCCTTCTTCTCATCTTTCAGTTTTTCTAATGTCGTCGCAGGCCTCTGGCCCTCAGCCTCGTCTCGGCATGCAATCTCATAGCTGTGAGCACTGGATCAGCATTCTGGCAGGGATGGCGTAGCAGCAGCATCAGTTAAAGTCACTCTCAGTCCGTTACCGTTGAAGATCTCTTCACCAGCAGGAGTAAGAGAACAGCGGGTACTGGCTCCACTCGGCCACGTTGCCATGGTGATAGCCATGGTGCACAGCTTGCGTGGTGTAGTCAGCGGTCAGGTGATGAGGAGGGGGGTACTGGGCCGGACCGGGGCCGCTCCACTGGCCAAGGGGCTGCTCGGCGCCGTACTGGCTGTAGATGTGGTGGCTGATCTTGCCGGCCTGGGACATGGTCATGTTGAGGACCCCGGTGTAGTCCTGGGGGGCAGGGAGGGGCTGGGGGCCGCAAGGCGAGGGGCCAACCTCATGTGTGCGGGGCTTTGAAGGGTCGTGATCGGGGACGGTGGTGACATCGGGGACTCTCGACTCAAAGCTGCTGCGTCCTGATCCACTGTTGCTGCTGCCGACGCTGGAGGAGGGAGAGGGAGACTTTCCATACTCGTGGAACCTGAAGAGCAAAAAGAGAGAGGGTCATTGTCTGTTCATCATGACAACATTGTGGTCTTATTTGTTGCATAACTTGTATTTACCTGTACGGCTGGTAGGAAGCTGGAGCAGGAACAAGCTGCTCTGTGTTGTACATGTCCCTGGGGTCGGCCCCAGCGGGAGATTCAGTCCTCACACTGTGCTCCCTGTCAGCAGCCCACGGGGAGTAACGCTCCTCTTTGACGCCATCAGACTCTTTCCTTTTGGGGAGGTCTCCTTCATCGCCGTCGTAACCCTCATACGATGACCGGCAGAAATCTGAGGAGACCCAAATTTGTTAGGTCAGTTTTGGAGTACAGGACAAGGAAGTGCAAACATCAACAGCAGGAAGAGAGTCTTAAACTGTACCTGCTGGACTGTCCTCCTCAGAGTCTCTGTTCAACATGTCTGACATCTTGGATCGTTTCTCCAGGCAGTTTGGATTCTTGTTTGAACGCCTGCAGAACATTAGGTTTATAAAAACAATGCATTGTACTCGATACAAACTACTGCAAAGGAAATCTGTAGACAAGCGTCCAACTGGAATTGTTGTAGGGCTCCTCCAGCTGTGGAGTCATTATCATCAGTACCTCCATGTGACTAGTGTGACACCCACCTTTTCTTACTAGTGCCTTCATCCCGGAAACCTTTTGCAAACGGGTTGTGATCGATCTTCAGCTTTGTAATCTGTAGGTGGGGAAATCAAATCAGGAAAAAAACCCAATAATGTGTGACGCCCTGTCAGCGGTTTGAAGGGAGAGAAACTGACCTTGGTGTTCTGGTATGCTGTGACCGCCGTGAAGGAAGTCTCGGGGAAGGTGAAGGTCTGGAAAACACTCCAGCGGACACTGAACAGGTCGTCCGCCTGGACGATGTGGAAGCGCGGGTGGTAGCGATGCATGGAATGCAAAATGATCTGCAGAGAGGAAGAGGGTGATTAATTCAGACCTAATTCATTAATTCAGTGCTTTGAGCTCCATTTTTACAAGTATCCACTTTGCCGCTGCCAAAGCATCCAGACTGTAAGTGTTACAAGTCCACCAAGTACTTCAATTATCCAACATTTTTTCAAGATAGCAGTGTGGATATCATTTGTATGAAATACAGAGTTCCTTTTGAGGCCCTTATTTTAAGTGCTCTTACTTACATGGCCGTGCTGGTCGAGTGTATTGTTGGTGAGCTTGAGCTTGAGGAAGGCGATGGACTGCTTCATCCAGTGGCTCCCCGGGGCTGGAGATTCGGGGTGGAGGTAGGTCCTGCAGGGAGGCTGGGGCTCCGCTTTCCCTGCCACCTCCCATTTCTCTTTATTCCACTGTAAGACGGAGACAGATAGTCAGTCAGTCTGTCACAGAGAAAGGTGATTTACAGAAGGAGCTTCATCTTCTTCCCTTCCCACTGTGAGAGGGGGACGAGAGTGAGTGCAGGGTGACTGCTGGCCGGTACCACCCACAGAGATAGGGGGTAGTACAGTGGGCTCCCAGCAGGCGTTAGAAAAACAGGAAGAGATAGCACCCTTTGATGTACAATGTCAGGAGAGGGGGAGGGTTGGGGGTTGATAAACAGGGGAGATGTCTGGAGATACTGGTAACCACAGGGATATCTACAACCAAAGCCATGGCTGTGATAAGTCAAGGCTACTTATTATTGTTGGAAAGTAACGGGAATTTTCTCAACTGAAAATGGCTGACTTATTCATAAGTGAGGGGAAAGTAACGACTGTCTTACCTTGTATCTGCAACCATCCTCGGGGACCATGTCAACCAGTAAGATGTATTTGGCACATGGAATAAGGCCCGACAGATTAATCTTACAGTGTGGAAACATCCTCCTGGAAAACATAGAGAGGGACGCATGAGGAAAAGAAACCGAGCAAACGCAGCAACAGAAGACCTTACTTTTCAAACATTCGTCTCACCTGCCCGGTTTAGTGATAATCATCTCTGTTCCTATTTCGCAAAAGGTCTTCCAGAGTTCAGGGTCCTCCAGAGTCAATCTGATGTTGCCCTGGAGATAGGCATCGGGGCCAGCAGCCATGGAGGAGTGAGGAGGGACGCTGAAGTTTGACTTCAAATCTAAAAGTGAATGAGAATCATCATAGCCACACGCTTCAGTAAATGTGATAGACGTCAGGATTCAGAAAAGAATGCCCCAGGTAAGACAAAACCACCGAAGACAACACTGGTTGGGAAATAGGAGTTTACCAATTGAGAGGCTCGGTTTTCGTCCAACGAACATCGGTCAACACTCACCTCTGATGGACTGCATTGTTCAGGTTCAGCAGTAGCGCAGGGATTGCTTGAAAGAGCTTCATGCACTGAGGGCCAATTAGCAATCCAAGTATCTGTGATATCCAAGTGATTCTTCAGCTCTGCTCCCACTCCTTGATCTCCTTCCTCATGTGACAAAGTAAAAAGAGAAATCCAGCAGCTCAGGGTTAGTCAGTCTTGTTGCAGCAGATAATTCAGAGATCACGAGTCCTGCTGGGAGTGGTGACCATGACTTTTAAGGACAGCCGGGGAGTGGGTTGGGTCAAGAGAGCCATTCCCAGGCTTTGAAGTGGCACAATGATGAGTCAGAGCCCCGCTGTGATTGGAGGGTGCTGGAAATCAAAGAGACTTAACAGAGCCTTGATACCGTCCCCACAGGAAGGGGTACCAAGGAATTGCATCTTTATTAACTGCTAAGAGACTTTAAAACCAATATGGACGGACCTTCTGCAGATCGGTGGTTCGCAGCGGCACCAGAATCTGTGTAAATATCATTCACGCGGACATAACTGCACACCAAAATGGCATTTAGAGTGTTTGTGCAATGTTGTAAATACCCAATTTATTAGATTCACCAAACCTGATGAAACTGCAATCTAATGGAGGGTGCATTTAATTTGGTTTTGTGTCATTATTTTCTTTAAAAAATATTTTTCTCAAAGTATAACCCTTATTCAAACACTAGTTATTATTACACTCATCCTTTTTATTGATCTGAAATTAGAAATTGAAATTTTCTGACATCAAATATGCGTTTTACTTTAACACAACTTTATTCTCAGCTTTCGCCATAATAGAAAATTAGGCAGTGGGTGTAAACCCATAATGGTGTAATGATTACGTGCACTCTTTCGGCAGGTAACTTTTACCTGGGGGGCGTTCTCTGAAGCCTCTGCAGGCACAGCTGGTGGTGGGTTGTGTATTGGGGTGTCTAGACAGGCCCATGCTCTGATAGATAATCTCATTAGGCTAGTTTCCCTGGCTAGTTTCTGCATGTGGAGAAAGCCTTGTGTATAGGCAGGCAATTAACAGCCAGTTAGCACCACAAGCCCAAGTCAGCCTTGAATGGGACAGGAGGAGTCTTAGAATAAAGACTTGCCACAACAACTCCACCATCCTCCCACCACCCACATCCAGGCTAAATCCACGCGTGTCATGTATAGGCCTGCCTCGTGCCATGCTACTGCATGCAAAACAAATGCTAAACTGCAGGTATTAGCATAGAGGAAGAAAATTAGACCACAGTCCCCCCCCCTCGTTTCCACTGACAGGAAAATTTGAATTGAGGGCGACTTTCACATCTCATTCAACCTCTTTTTCTAGCACAGACACACCACTTCCACTTCTTATTGTATTCTCATGCCTGCATGGTGCATACAATGCCTTCTGTTAGCTCAGCTCTCTGACACCCATTCACGAAAGGATTTGTGTAACTGTATGGATAACAGTTTGAATAATAAAACCAAATGTAACTTATGATCTAGAGTTTTAAAAGCAATGTGTGCAGCATGCATTGGTCCCGGAGCTTTGAAGGTAGCACAGCACTCTGTTGAATCAGGAGTTAAGTGAGCACAAAGAGAGATATTCACTGCTAGAAAGACTTCCCTGTGAAAATATTGACTCGCCTCTTTAAGGCTTCTGTGCGTGGTCGATGCAGAATAAAAAGGATAACAACATTCAGCTTGTAATGATGCACTTAAAGATGCAGAGATCTCCGTACGATCATTTACTCATGTTAAATGTCTTGACGCAGGACCCTCCCAGCACCCCCCCTTCTTCTTCTTTGGCCTTGAGGAAGTGCGATGTGTTTTTATCCTCTTTATGTGAAACCAACTGTTGTCGAGGAGTTATTAAGCACAGGTTCGGTGTTGCTCTCCTCACTTAGCCAGCTCTTCTCTGGGTCCTGCATGGGGACACCCTTCCACTGTTTCATGGGGCAGAGAGGTCACACACATCTGCGAGTGTTTAGGAGGAAGACGCTATATGAGGATTACAGAGATTATGATGAGACTTTCTCCGCACTGCAGCTCTAGCAGCGGAGTGTGTCTGAGCTGAGGTGTACATTTCAGCAGCGGCAGTGTCAATCCCATTACGCACCGGGTCTGGAGGTGACAGGTGTGACTGGTTAATGCCTCGCTGCATGGCCTGGGGACAAAAGTCAGGCACAAAGAGGCATGACAGGGAGCACTGTCTTATGTAACAGCAAGCCTGGGGGGCGATTTGGATTGGATGACACATCAGGGAGGTCACCTGGAGAAGACTAATAAGGACTGCAAACCAAAAACATTGTGGGATTTGTTTAAGGCCCTAAATATACTGTATGGAATGTAGCTACTTCATATCATTTTGGAGTAAATAATGAGGGATGACAGGAGGAAACGTTCAGGACTGATCATAGATATCTTCTGTTATGATAAACAGCTGATTCCTCCTGTTCAACTGAAGCCCCGTGTCTCATACATGACTCCACTGTGGCTTTCCTTCCTGCGTCTACTCCTGGTTCACCTTTGGCAGCGAAGTTCCACCTCCCAGGTGTCAGTCTTTAGCCATTTGCTTTAACTGCACAGATCCCCTTGTGCTCGACAGTTAACAGCTGCCAATATACAGCCAGGGCCCGGGGATCAGACGGCTCTCCAGCAGCCCAATAAAGAGCCCCCGGAGTGGACCGACGAGAAATCTCACACCTTTCGCTCACATTAGCCATGCAGCATGCCCTTTTGATGCTTAATTGGCCACTTTGAGGGGTTTGTAGAGATAGCAGCCCCATGGCTGGAGACAACATGATGTCACAGGAGACCGAACAATATTACATGGCAGGGGAAATGCCTTCACCTGACAACAGGTCGATTGTGATTTAGCTGTATCTGCTAAGAAATGCTGTGTTGTGATTCGAGAGGATTCATAATATCATGTTGAGTTTATGGCACTGCAGAGAACTTTAATCTATAAGTCTGCATACAAATAGCACCAAAGCTCAACAGGAAAGCAGAACTGATACGTCTGTTGAAGGTAAATTCATCACTTTGCCTGCTTGCAAATAGTACACAAAAAAAACAAAGCTGTGAACATGATCTGTTACAATATCATCTCTGGCATCCCTGACTTAACTGCAGAGTGACCGTGGTGTCACATGCACCAACTAGGGGCCGGGCGAGCTCACATTTGGTCCACCAGATAAGAAAACAAACCTCAAATCTAGCTTGCCTGGCAAAGGGGGCAAATGACAACTTCACAGCACTTCATAAGAAACTCCTGGAAGTTGCTAATGAAGACTAATGACTTCCCTCGCGTCGCAGACTTCACACCAGAGTGTACAAGCCCTTTGACCACAAAGTCAGTGTGGTCAGCAGGGTGGTCCGCCAGCAGCTACAAGAGTCAGAGAGCCCACAGCTCCACTGGAAGAGGATGCTTTACAAATCCTTTAAAAGCTAGACTTCACAAATGCCTTTCCTTTACTTTTTCCTCTCCGTTTAAGGGTTTATCCTCGTCTAAATCAAGGACAGATTACAGAGCCCCTCAAGGCAAATTTTGTGATTTTGGGCTGAATGACTTGACTTGAATATCCTGCAATAACGCATTAGTCAGGCGGTTTCCTAATTTTATTATGTTAGTTTGTGGGGTTGTATAGTTGGCAGTTTTAAAAGAAAAGTTTCATTATCACCCAGAGGAAATCAGGATCAAGCACTGAGAGTGTTACTGATCAACTTGTAATAACTCTTCAGTCTCGTAGGCCACACGCAGCCAGAAAATGAATTGATTGTTAAGAAATGAACTGTCACGGTCATTTTAAAAATGTGCCCATGTGGTGTTTAGTGAGTGACCATCACCTTCGTCTGTACAGAGAACTGGATGAACATCTTCTGACTGGTGCCAGTCCCACAACAAACATCCCAGCATGTCTGAAATTCACCTGATGATTTCATAGAAATTAATAAAATATGAAAAACTAAATGAAAGCTATAACCAAAGCACATTAGGTGGGTATTAGCCTAGTCATTAGTCAGTTGACAGGAAGAAAATTCATGCATCTTAACTATTCTATGTTCTTAATACTTAATCCTACTGTCAAAATATAAGTAAAAGTGTATTTTTCAGTCTCATATTAATTCATATTATCAACCTAAATCACACTGTTTGGGTAATGCTGTCATTGTTCCACTACTTAGTTATAAGTTAGTTTATTATAAGTTGTGTATTTTGATAAGAGGTAGACAAACTGGTAGGAACACTTTCATATTCATAATGCATTATAACAATATTAACACTTAACACGTGAAATAGAATACATGGAACAACTTCCCGTTAGCATCCTGTCATGTTTGATCAGTAACTGGTCATATCTGTCTTAATTATAAACCTGTATTTTTATATCGGGCACTTTATGCTCCAAACTTACAACAAAGCATCATGAATGCTCAAAGTATATGAAAAACATAATTGAGGACGCTGCACTATTGCTGTACTCTCGAGGAAGTGATATGTTGAGTAACAGGAAAAGAAAAATGAAATATTAGAAACTCTTAGGCGTCGTCAACTGTTCCAGTACTTATACATGTTGTACGATGCTTTTACTTTTGTTAGTCTTATATCTTCAGAGAGTTGTTGAGGGGGTTGATTTCAAGCCTCAGTAAGCAACGGGTGCCCACTGGTCTCATATTAAATCATAGTTATTATGGCCGTCACAGTATTAAACTGCCCCCTCAGACACAGAACTGGTTTTCTCAGAAAGCCCAAGAGGGCTGCGCTCATACCGACTAAAACCAGCGTTTTACCTGATGTTTGAAGTAGCACACAGAACAAACGTGTTTCTCAAATATATTTTTGGTTTGACATCTATAATGCATTCATTCCAGACAGTTCCCTTGAGGCGGGGGGGGGGGGGGGGTTTACATTCTGGTACACTCCCAGAAGAACAATAGAAAACTATCTTACACAAAAAAATAAACAAAACCAACAAAATAAAATCCCAATTCTCCTTTCTAAGGGTGATAGTTTACAATTATTCATTTGTGTCTTTTTCAAAAATTATTTTTAGACCACTTTCAAGAAACACAATCAGTAAATATCTCTCTCTCTCTCTCTTTTATAGAAAACAATCTGTAAAAAACATTCTGTTGTCTTCCTCTGAGTTAAGCTAGAATTGTGACAAATTTAGTAAAATGGTTTGAATGGAAAGGCATCTGTATTAGGAAGTCCTCCTCCGCAAGTGTTTCAATTCCACTGAAATCAGGAAGGATCGTGTGAAGCGTCGGTTTCAAGGGAAGCCGCTTCCTGAGTTGACTGAAAATAAAGCTCAACGCTCATTAAAGTCAAACACATTAGAGGGTATTTGGATTGTGATATGTACAAAAGCTAATTCATAATAACTCGGTCCACATCATTCAGATCAGTGCTGGTGACAGGATGTCTTCCTGGTAAGAACTGTTCATCTTAGCTACAAATGCACACCGAAGAAAAGAAAAATATATATCGGACAAAATATTACAAGAATACAAAAATAGCACAACGTTAAGTGTCAACTGAAAAACATCCCAAACGTTCAGTGTAAACATTTCTTATCTGCTACAGGTTGTGAGGCTCCACAGGTTGAACCTCGAATGCAGCCGATTGTCCTCATGTAACCCTTGTGTTCATCGAAATATGTTGTGCACCAATGCAACGTGTGCTGCAGAAACCATGCCCGAGTAAGTGATCAAAAGTGGTGGACAGCAGGTACATACTGCCGAACATCAGTCCGGACTGAGGCGCCTCAGATCGGAGAGTTCTCACACGGGGGATGTTAGCTGCAGCTTGGAGATATAGTCGGCGCGCAACGTAAAAAAATAAACACGGAACTGGTCGGCTGTGCCAGATCCAGTGTACGCTGGAGTGCAGGATACACTGATGTGCGATATGCATAAATGGCACATTGCAGACATGCTGCGAGACGAAAGCAACCGTCATCCGTCTTTATCTGCTGACGAGCAGGGCAGCACGGTGACATGACAGGCGATGAGAATACTGCATTTCTTCTGTAGTGCACATGACGAAGCAATGGCATCAACACAGACAGCTGCAGTGACATGTACCATTCCTTTTTAAGACAGGGGGGGGGGGGGGGGGGTTGTGTTCAGTTTCAGTGCGCACACAAGGCCTTCAGCGGCTCAGATGTCCATGTAATCGTCCTCTTCGTCCGACTCGCTCTCCAGAGACGACTCCTGGCTGGATGTCTCCTGCACCTCCAGCGCCGGCTGGCTCAGAGTGTCCTTTTTGACTGTGGCTGCAGACTGAGACGACAAGATGACGTTCTGGAGAGGAGGAGAAGGCGGGGAACACTGTTGAGTGGTAGACTAGACTACAGTCATATTTGTTTGAAATCAAATTTGACTAAATAGACAAATGCATGAATATTTTCAATGTGAAAGACAGAAGCCGTAGCTTCCTGCTGCAAAAAGAACGACTGCTTTATTTATTTGCTATTATGGTTTTATTTTGATATTGATTTAAACAGAATCATGTAAACGATAATGGGGTTAAACAGCTGCACGCAACGGTTATGAGCCCTCACACAGAAACACAGACGTAGAGGCAAACTGCATACCTTCAGTCTTTGTTTGGTTTCCTCGGAGATGCTGCCTTTAGGGGACAGAAGTGTGGGTGTCGGAGGCGTTACTGTGATTTCTGGTGGGAACTTGGTAACGGAGGACGGGATGAAAAGCTTTGGCATGTTGTGCGGGACACGGGAGCGGATTCGGTTGGGGTCTGGAAGTTTAGACTGATCATCGCTGGCATACTGCTGCTGGTCTGAGAGAGACAAATAAGAGGACATGTCTTAATGTCTTAACATTTTTTAAGGAATATGAAGGAACTGAGAGTCCCGTTAGGTTGAGTTCATATCAGAATATCATCCATTCAACCCATCTGTGGCTGTTTTTCCCTGTCACACAGGTTCTGACCTGGGCATGGCTGTGCACTACTACATGTGGCGGTTTCCTCCTGGAACCAGGCTGCTGCTGACTCATGGCCTTGGGATACAGTGGCGAGTTTCATCTGCTGACAAAGGTGCGACTCCTGCTGTCGGTACGCAAGTCCCTCTGAGGGATCCTCCCGCTCATCTGTGGGCACAAAAGCTGTTAAAGCTATATCATCACAGGTTTACAATATTTGTTATTGTTGAGTGAGCCGGAGACTGGACAGGCGATATACAAATGATCGTCCATTTACCATCCCCTGCCAACAAAGACAATAGAAGCAGTCATCAAATACACAGGGACAAAAAACATGATGAAGGATTAACAGCTTCTAGGAGATGGTGAGTAAAAACTACAGTATTTTGATGTAGAAATAGAATAAAATCATTCTGAACATTTGGCATTTCTGTGTGTGTACGTGTATCCGTCTGCAAGATCATCCAACTTTAATAACCTGAGGAACTCTAAATGGATCCACACAAAGTGCTCATATGCTGAGTTATGATGAAAACGGTTCATGCACTAGCTCGTCACATGAGCACTGTGTAGATGCAACGGGTGATAACATGGAGTGCCATGAAGTTAGCCGTGAAGCAGCGTTGTGGGTTTCTTAATGAAGGACAGAAACCAGACGACCACGGCCGTGTCGCAGAGTGCTCTGCCCGACAGCTCATTCATAAAAGATTTGCACTTGAGGGGATTTGTTAATCACAAAAACATAAAAATAGAATTTGTTCTAAATGTCATGTTGAAATTGAACAAGAGCCCAAAAACGCTGTTCTAGAGAGCAGCCTTACAGGAACCGATTGTCAGTTCCTCATCAGTAGAGTTTGCCTCCGTATGAGGAGGAAATATGCAACACGTTTACTCATTATAGGATTTATTTTTACTGTAGTATTTTTTACGTGTAATATGTCGTAAACGTATTCTGTCTGTGTTCTTTGTTTTTTTAAATAAGTGGCCAAACATTTTAACACAGCACCAATGTCATGGTTCACGTGTAAAAAAACAATGCTGGTTGTCATCAGGTTAGACGTTTCTGCTCGAGTTAAAGTGGATTTTGAATTAAGTCCATGTCATATATTACTACTTAGGCTCATGCATCTCAAAAGCAACAACTGTGTCAAGTTTGCTGCCTGCAAGATGTCTACAGATATCAAAGAGATAATAACATTAAGCTTTGGTTTCAGAGGATGCAGTAAAAAGCCAATCACGGAAAATGGGCCCAAAACAGAAAGAGAGCCAAATGCAGTCGCTCCATTTGCTGAGCACTTATCTGAAAGAACAGAAATGAAAGCTGCTTCAACAACAAGAGGATTGACGTTAGTGTCTCCAAATGCTTTTTACTGCCCCCAATGGCCTCGTACAAAAATCAAATGAGTGTTAAAATATTCTAAATAGTAATCAAGTCTAATGACTACAAAGGGAAACACACTTCCAAATAATACATATTGATGATTCAAGCTCACAGGTTGAGTTGGTATGTTATCAGGGGAAATTAGGCTGAAGACACCGGCAGCAGGAATTGCATCTTTAGATATTAAAAATGTGACAAACAGCAAACCTGACTATTAATTATGAGGATCAGCAATTATGCCAAAACCGCTCCAGAAGCTCAGAGAGCAACAGTCTGTAGGACACAGATCCCCAAAACTCTAAAATATAAGCAGACCAGAGTCTGCTGTTATGTAACCGATGTGTGGAAGTCCACAGGCGCCACCTGCTGGTCACATGGACTACAGCACTTAAGGATCTTAAACTGAATTCTCCCTAAAATCCTCAACGCATCAGAGAGGACGATACCTCGTATTAACACTGCGTTGTGGCGAGAGCAAAGAGCCACCACAGAGTGGTGCTGGAGAGGCGGCCACCGTACCTGTGTGTGGTAGGAAGGCCATGGCCGCAGCAGGGTGGCCGGCTGCTCTCCTGTGCTGTGGCTGATCGTGGAAGCCCGAGGCGTGAGCTCTGGACAGCTTGCTCAGCGGCTCGTACACCACTTTGGCTTGACCCTCCGGGGTGGACAGCGGGTGGCAGGCGGTGTGGCCGAGCAGGATGGGCGACGACAGGGAGGCGGGGAAGAAGATCTCCTTGGTGTACTTGGGCGTGGTCGGGGTGTCGCCTGCAGACTGTTGGGAGACAGAAGGAGAGCAGTGGTCGTGAGAAGGTGAGACTGATCTCGGGGATCCATCGGCAGCGTTAAACCCTCCCCTGCTCAGGTAGATTTCTGAGAACTGCACATCCGCTTCCCTGGAGACAGAATGTGGTCAGAGACTCAGTCGATACCACTGCACCTTTTCAAACAACACATCAGCGATATTAGTCTCATCTCTTCCACATAAGCGGTAGTTCAGAGGCTTACTTGTGTGCTGGACTCAGCTCTACACCACATCCCCGTGTGTTCTTTTGAGGACCACTTACAAGCAACGAGAGCTGCACAAACAACCTGCGACAACAGCCGTCGCGCTCCCACAGCCGCTGCCATGGCAACACCAAGGAGCACAGTGTGTAAAAAAAAAAAAAAAAAAAAAAAAAAAAAAGAACCTTCTCTAGTTTTTAATTTAAAAAGGATGAAAAGTTGGGACGACAACTAGCCTTTATAAACCTTTAATCCCAGCTCTTCACTCTTCTGTGTGAACTGTGGCAAAACGTACCAAACTGAAGAAATCCTGTTATTGTGTTGCAATAATTATGCAGACGAGTAAAAAGTAAATACAACGTTTTTTGTTTTCTGCAACAGAGAATGAGAATGCTTCTATGTCAGAGGTACATGTATCAAGATGTCAAAGCCACGACACACGTCTGTCACGACAAGCCTGCTTTGACAGATACATTATGTTTGCACTAGATGATTTGGCAATAACACACCGAAGCATTATTGTGCTCTGAATATCACAGCTGTGTGTGAGATGGAGCTCCCCCCACGGGAGTCACTCAGTGGCGCACAGGCGAATCAAACAAACAAGAGTAGCCTTCCCCAAAGCTTCCACGGATCCTTCAGCTCAACACACGAGCGGCACGCAGCAGCTTCAAGCATGCAGCAGCTCTGATGATTCATACCTCATGAATTAAACACTACGACGAGAACACCAACAAGTCAGCTGGACCCGTGTGCATTAGAAGAACACTGCGCCTAAGAAGATTGCAGCACCTTAGCATGCGGGCCTGTCTGTAGGTTCCTCTAGGTGTCTGCTGTGTGCTGAGAGGGAGCTCCCACAACGTGAACTGAAAAGATAGTTCTGTGCAATTATCGAGATCGGGCATTAAATCAGATTAGAACAGCTGCAGGTGTCGTGTTCAGGTTTGGTCAACTTTACAACACAATTGAATGACCGGCCAACCGAACATTTTAATTAAATTGCCTGGCCAACTGTGGGGGGCTGACACTGGAGCTCCTTTGTGAAGCAAATGCCCACATTCTTCTTTGACGAATTAAACCTTCACATTCCTCAAAGCCTGCTGACTTACAGCAGGTGAGACTGGAGCGCTTTAATGAAGTACCTCCATCGAGTCTCTAAAAGAGCAAAAAGATCAGTGACAGTAACTAGGCGCTCAGGTCACGTAGCCTCGTCCTTTTTCTCCTACTGATACGGCATCAAACCGAGGGAGTAAACAACACACAGAGCATGACGCAGACAATCTTTCTCGCTCAGCACTATGCTCGTGCACTTGTGGGGGCCGGAAGGAATGTGTGAACCTGTAAGAAGCAGGCAAGAATGTTTCATGCCCTCGAGCGGAGAACTCAGAGGTGCCTACTCACATTTCCCCACTACATACAAGTGTAGTCGAATGCAAACCACGACATGAGCTGGTGGCACAATAGTTACACGTAAACAAATAGCACAAACCACCACATGCACGGTCACCGTCATAACAACAAGTCAGCATGTATACCTGACACGTTAAATATAATCTAATTTTAAATAAATACGGTACATATTAAAACATGCGGCGCCGACATGAAGTGCATGAATATATTATGGAGATTTCTACAGGTAAAATAACAGCTTGAGACTGGTTTTAAAAGTGCTCATACAGATGTTTCAGTAAAAGAAAAGATTATTTTGAGAAATGAGGCTTCTGAGCTTCGTCTGCATCATCTCTGTGTTGTGTGTTTAGGCGTGAAATTTAGACAAAACTCACACGAACAACAAAAAGATTCATGCAGAAAATAAGATGACACGATCAGTGAACTAGGAAAACACATTTATTTTGCCCACAGCTACTTCTTGTAAGCCCGAGATTCGGGGAACATCACCGTGACAACAGCACGTGGGCAGAGAGACCCTTGTCGATCGTGTGGGCAGGAAGGATGGATGTTAGGAAGGAGGAGGGATGTTAGGAAGGAGGAGGGATGTTAGGAAGGAGGAGGGATGTTAGGAAGGAGGAGTCACCGCCACAGGATGGAAGCAGAGCCACTAACAAACCGATGAAGAATACGAGCACTGAAGACAAAGCTGAGCCAATAGTGGGTTTAATACCAACGGAACCAATTAGACACATATTCAATGTCCCCATTGCAACAGGCAACAAGCATACCAATGCTCAGTTGAAACCAATGACGTGTAGCTTGGTGAGTGAGGCTAAAAAGGGACAACAGGGAGCATTCACACCACGCGTTAAGCTATATTTAGCACTGGCAGGCTGAAGCAGTTACTTATCAGTTTAGCACATTTTACTACAGATGCTGCACTTGCTATTATAACCTAAATAGCAGACAAGTAAAATTAGATTCAGTCGACTTGGGGTGTATAACATGGGGACAACTCAGAGATAGATGGTTGCTGTTGCTCACTAGAATACTGCTAATGCACCATAAACGTGTCTTGAGTGAAGCCTTAAATCATCGCAACCTTATGCGAGACTATTCCCACAACATGGGAGGAAAAAAACTAGTATTTTGCATCAACTTGGATAACACAGGAATAGATACAATGTGCATTTAGCATTTTATATAAATGTAAACTACAGTATGAGCTATGATGCACATTGTAGAGCTGTGTTTTACCTGTCGTTGGGCAGAAGTGGCCAACTGTATCTGGCAGAACTTCACAGCTTGGTCCAGAGCGACATCCTCATCAACCTGAGTCGGGAAGAAAAGGCAGAACAAGGACATTAGGCCACAGCAACAAGTCGAAGCAACATATGCTTGTAGTTATATTCCTCAAATCTTGTCCTTGGAGCAGTGCGTGTATTCTGCAAATTCCCCATATATTTCTGTGGTGACCAGTCCCGTGTACACACCACGTTAACTACTTACTGTGTCTCCACACTAATGCCAAACCAACAACATATTATTCTGATTTTGTATCAGAGCCAGTAGGATGTCTTCCATCTCTGATCGTAGCACCAGTAAAAGAAAGGCTCACATTAAGGCCCAGTACAGCAAGTGGGTGTGTGGGAGTTAGTGAGCTTGGCCACAGCCCCACATCGTACACTGAGCAGTAATCTTGTTCACACAGCTGTTAGCAGCCTGCTGCATGCAGAGGTTCAGGGACCCCCAAAGGGAGGAATTTTTTATTTTTTATTTATTTATTTTTTTAAACATCGGCCTCGTTATAGTTCTCAAATTATGCCAATTGTTAAATGGACTGAGTCAACCCTCAGTGCATCACAGAGGACAGCCCTCTGCTCTCAATCCATGTCTCTGCAAACCTTCCTTGTCAAACCGCATACAGTTTGCAGCGATGACTTATCAACATCACATAATACTATTAGAATGGAGCGAATTTCAACAACAAACATCCCGAGCACATCAACTTAATGCGACATGATGTACTGTGTTCTGATGGCGATTGGTTGAAATGTACCACCTTAAGAGTGAGCTGAAAGAAAGTTTAACATCTGACTGCAATATGCAGAAGTAATAACACACAAACATGGATGCAAACGATGCAAGCTACAGATCAAAACAACTAGAACCACATGCAGCTGTGCAATGCAGCCGACCACAAAACCACTGCAGTTTGTTCAAGTAGGAGCAGAAACAGGAGATGCTTCTGGAAAATGTCCAGGCATATTAATTGGACAACTCATTCTGTGAGGGGAAACATGTCGTGGCTGGTTCTGGCTACTCTCTCTTATGGGTGTGTCTAGGAAAATATTCTCTTTGCCGTCTCTTAAAGAGCACAGGAACCCCCCCCCTGTAAACAACAAGAGCTGCTGAAGCTAAGCCATCTCCTCTGATTTCTTCTTTCTCCTCTCCAGCTGTCGCTCCTCTACTACCCTCACACTCCAGATACAGCTCTCTGGCATAACACAGCTAACAACATGGCAACTTCTGTAGGTCAAGCATTGATCTTCAGCTGAATATGCTATATGTGGGCGGTTCTGTAACTACAGCATCAATGCCATAGTCAGCACTACAAGTTGGACTAACTTTCAACAACTGAGGAACATTTGCTCTCGAGATCGAGAGAGAGATCCAAAGAAACTTCTCACTTCTTTGACACTTCCTACGCAGGAGAAGGTTAACATAATGATTTCATAATAATAATAATAATAATACATAATAAGCATAGTTATACATATAGCAGCCCTCTCCCATTACAAACATGTCTTCGACCGTTATATTATACGACAACTGGTGGACATAGACATTAGAAAATGTATTCAGCACTTTCAAGATGTAGTTGGGAATGCAATGAGACGCTTACATTTACATTTCAACTTTAATTGAAAAAAACGAAGAAAAATCAACATATCTTAAAAATACCCTGTGGTTACTTTCAGAGTCAGCAACTTGTTTCAGAAGTGAAAGTAAAACTAGAGGTTGAATTTCGATTACTGCAAGTAAAAAAATAACTGAGTTGAAAGAGGGAAAGTACCTCACCTACAGTGGGTGTTGTGCTACTAGTTTAGTTAGAAGAGGGGTTTTTCCCAAGACAAAAATATTTTAGAAGGGAAAATATCAAGCTTGCATGACTTTGCAAAACAACAAAAAAATGATTGCAGCGCATATACTCAAAACAATAATGCCATCTGTGTATCTTTGTACATGTTGGAGAGGCTTTACCTGTTTCATGAGCATATAAGTCTCCGACATGATCTTTTCAATGCGGGCCAGGTCGTAGGTCATGACTTTCTGGCCCTGCTGCCACACCCGGTAGGCATCAAGCAGCAAAGTTTTTCCGGACTCGGCATCGTCAAGAAGCTTTCTTTTCCTGTTTGGCCGTCGGAGTAGCCCCTGATCGGCCCCGCTGGCTGCCACAGTCACCTTGGTTGCTGAGGCTTGGAGCTGCTGCTGCCTGGAACTGATACTCAGCTCCTCTAGAGACAGCTCTGGTGTCCGGCTGCTGTCGGTCACCTTCTGCTGGGGCTCCACGACACTCAGGGAGGTCTCGGCCTCCGTTTGGATGCCCTGAGGATCTGTGGTAATAGAGGGCCTCCTCCAGTGGCCAGAGTCAAGCTCCATGGGCTCCTCTGGCCCTGCTTTGTGTCCCTCACTCCCAGCAGTCTCTACCTTCCCCAGGTAGAGTTCCTGAACCTTACTCCCTTTATCCACGGCTAGCGGTAGTGGGGTGAGTTGTGCCTGGGAGGCTTCCTTGGGCCCTGCATCAGTGGCACAGGCTCCCTCTGTGATCCCAGGCTTCTTAGGTGGAGCATGTTTGCCGTCCTCCGAACTGGGCCTGTTGGATGCGTCCGTCGTGGTCATCTCCCCCATTGAAGGCACGGGCGCTTTGTGAAGCTGCTCAGACACCTGAAAGAAAACAGAACCATTTAAAATATGAAGTGGGTGCATGCCAGATGTCTAAAACGCTGAGCGGCCCTCGGCTCTTAGGAAGTGTGTAAGTGAGTAGTGATTTGTGCTCCCTTACCCCTTTGAGACTGTTCAGATTGTCCTCCAAGACTTTTACAGTTAGGAAGAATGCTCTCTTGGCCAAAACCTGGCGATCAACATCCCGTAAATACTTCCTTGGTAGCAGAGAAAGAAGCAAGAGAGATGTCATGGAACAATTACATAATACATAACAGAAATAACAAGTGTCACACAAAGTGGGTTCTTACTTTCCCTGGTCAGGGGTTCTCTGCAGCATAAAAGAGACTTTCACCAGAGTATCGTGATCCTTAAGCTGAGCCAACACCTCCAGCAAGAGGACAATGGATCGGTTCATATGAGAAGCAAAACTTCCCGGGCGATCAATCTCATCCACTGGAATACGCCAGATGCCCTGAAGGAGGAGAAAAGAGAAAGAAGAAGTAAAGTTCGACTGTGCTGTACTATAAACACAAATATTATCTTTTCCACAAATGCACAGCTTTTAGTTGAGCAGGAATTTGATTTGAAAACATGGACCAATTACCAATATTCCAAATTTGGTCATGGAGGCAAAACAGTGTCAAGGAGGAGCTGCCTGCATTTCACTAGTTTCGCATTTGACAACAAGCCAAAAGGCTAATGTGTGACATTCTGGAAGTTATGTTTCTATGACTGCTCTCTGCTGCTACTCCAGGTTTTCAAAAGCCTAAAAAGTGTATGAGACAAGGAAACAATCAGCAGGGAGACACGGAAAAACTGAAAGAAAAGTAGAGGAAAACGCAAGAGGAATTAATGGGAGTTAAAAACCGGGCATTCAAAGAAGAAAGTCCTAATGAGGGGGTGGGAAGGCTGCAGGAGAGATCTTGCGGACAGGCTGGCCATGTCGGAGGTGGGGAGGAAGGCATGGGGAGGGGGGGGGGGGCACCTTCTCTTTGGGAACACATGATAGGCAGCCTCATTAGTGCTCAGCTCTGTCCAAGCAAAGCAACAGACCAGCAGACTGGCTGCCAACAAACCCAGTTCTCCTTGATGAGGTGTTTTTTTTTTTGATGGACAAGTCCACCTTTTTCTGTGAGCACATGTCCTCTCAGCAGGTGAAGCCAGGCGAGGTTCTGCACTCCGCAGCGACTGATGCGAGTGCAGATGGTGGCCTAGGCTGTGTACAGTCATACAGCACATGGCGCTGAATACAGCGTCTGGCCTCAGAAAACGTGTGCGAGACAAAACAAAAGAAGACCATATCAGGATAGAACAAAACAAATGAGACGGCTCCATCAGCTGCTGAAGGCGCTGGGGAGCACGGTCCTCCCTCACAGACGGCCCCAGATTGTCCGATGACATTTCCAAAGCCACCGGAGTGGAACAAAGCAGCGGAGAGAGGTAAACGCACATTGTTTGAATTCCTAAGGACGGATTCAAACAATCATTTATGCTACAGCGTGGCACCGTGGTATGAGCCTCCACGTGTGCTACGAGCATGCACAAAAAGGCGTTCATGCTCAACGCACTGTTCGTTGCACTATTATCCAAAACGCCAGAGGGCCAACAAACAAATTGTACTGAGAAGAAGCAAGAAAACAGTGGATGTTACCAGCAAAACGCCATAAAGTAACCTCCACAAAGCCGAGGAGGAATTGTAATCAACTCTCAGGCCTTTATACAAGCCCCGTTAAGAAGAATGTCAAGAATGAAATGCATTATAATGAAAATGGAAGGTTGAATATCCTGTTGATTTGAAATGTAGGTTTCTTTGTTCTTTGTAAAATCCTCAGACCTTTAATAGCTAAACTATTTGTGACAGTCATGACTGAGAAGCTGAGTGCGCACACAGCGAGCGCCTGATTACAAAAATTCAGACGTGCACGACCAAGCGACACAAGCTGTGAAGTCGTTTTCTGGCGCCGGTTTCAGTGCGCAGAGTAGATACTAAGCTTTGCAGCACATGCTCACGAGATGGATCTCACTGACAAGTGTCAGATTGGTCATCTAAAACGTAATATAGAAAGTCATCCCAGAAAACCAAACCCTCTTGTGTTTACATCAAGGATTCATTTTTCACTTTTAGTTCATGAGGGCTACTGACTTTCTGCTTGCAGGCATCTGTTGAGATTACTTTTCAAAATAAATGTCTTCTACTCTGATGATACAGGAGCAAATTCATTCTGATGAAATGGCAACTCAGATCTAGTGGTCAACAAAAAGCTCTGAAGAACAAGCGTATGGCTCCAACGGCTGTGTGAAAATGAGAAGATTTGTTAGCATATGATGCAATCAGGCAGGGCTTGGGAAGGTTTTAACCTTTCAATGCACAGATTAGCAAACGCCTCCAACAGGAAAAGTATGATGGGGGGGGGGGGGGGGGGGGGGGG